AACCCTCCGCGGGAGCGCCGCCACGCTCTCAAGCGGCGCACTCTCCAGTGCGCCACCGGGCTGGCCCGGAACTGTCTTTCAAAATTGCCTATTAAAATGTTAATACTAACCTTTACTTATTCTTTGACTTAAAATCACTGCAACTACCAGTTTATTTGTAAATCCATTTTGTAGTATTTATACATTTTTAGGAAGGCAATTTCTTGTAACAGACATCTTAGTTTATCATGGGAGAGAACAATGGAGACATGGGAAAGAAAGAAGCTTCCGAATTCCTAAAATGGATTCTTAATTTGAAATACTAGAAATGATGCCATATCTTCTAGGCAGTCAGAGTGATCAGTTAACATCATACTTGTAAATGTTATCAGATAGTCTTTTTCTGTTCCTGTAAAATATGTTTCTTAAGAAATTATGTGTTAGGAAATCTGGGGGGATAAATTATTACAACTTTATAATGAGGTACAGTTTTTTGGAACGTCAGCTGTGTTTGCCAATCACTTATCTGAAAGATTCAGTCAATCATTTGAATACCCTGGAGCTACCATGCCAAAACTGGATACTGTGGCAACCACTGCCATTTCTTCGGATCTCTTCAGGTGAGATCAAAGGAAGCAGAACTACCCTCATATTCTGAATCTGTCATGGAGAGTCGTGGTAGAATGTAATGAACAAGTGATTCTGAAATAGACATTATTTCTAGAAGTGCTGTTTTCCAGATATATCCCTGTGTTATATGTTGTATTTCAAAAGTCGTAAAGGTTTTTCTCTAGAACAATTATTTATGTGTTAATATCTCACATTGATTAATCCTCAGCTAATAACCAGAAAAATTATGGTTGTTCACTTTTTAAAATATGTAGAATACAGTCATGAGTGAAGGTTTATGTTTTGTTATATTGGGACAGAAAATTTGAGGTGAAACCAGATGTAAAATTTGAGGTGAAATCAGATGTTTCTTTTTGATCACATTATTTTGGTAGGACCGGATGGATCATACTTCTTCAGGTCATCATCCAAACAAAAAAAGAAAGGTAGCAGAGACTGAATTTTGTAGTGTGTCTGTTTTTATTAAGTAATTTTAATGCTGCAAAACCAAAAATAAAATAAATTAGAATAATATCACAATGACAGTGATGTAAGGAATATGGAGATTTTTATCTAAAATTTTCAGGTAATATAAATGAAAAGTTTATTACTTTTCATACGTGTTGTGAAACAAAAATATATTGAAGTTTTTAAAAAATTCTGTGTTAACATTCTGAGTCTGCATGTATACTTTATATTTTTGTACTTTTTGTTTTACTTTTATGTTAGGCAGAACTTTTCTTCTGCTGTGGTAGAAATATCTGAGTTTCTGTGTTAACTGAAAGAAACATTTATATTTGGAAAATATTGGTTTTAGGAAAGCTGATGTGTATATATATATATATATATACACACACACACACACACACACACACATATATAAGTGTATATATATATATATATACATTTCAGGATTTTAATGTCATAAGAGTCTTTAGGTTTGATCTTGTTTAACTCTTTTATTTTACAGTAAGAATGCTGAGGCCTAGATCATTGTCTTGCCCAAATTTAGTTTCCTACTTAGTGACAGAGACAAACTAGAATAAAAAATTTACTGGTTTCCCCTCAGAGTTCCTTTTCCTAACAGCATTCTGCTTTAAAAGAAATGGGGAAACTCTGAATTTGCAAGTAAGCAGATTGCTTGATTAGAAAGTAACAAATACCAGATATTGCCAACTCATGTTTTCTATTTTAATGTTATTTTTTGGTTTTGCAGCATTTCAGAAAAGATGATTAAAGGTTTTTTGTTTGTTTGTTTGTTTTTGCTTTTTACATAATTTAGTGCAGTAACTTTCTACCTGACTTTCTCATTTTTCCTAACAGCTTATATCTACAACTCTGAATATTACATGTGTGGTTTACTGATGTGTGCAGATAGTTAAGGTTTAATGGCAGTCCATAAAACTGAATCATGTTTTGAATCTGCTCTAACACTGTTCGTAGTTTGGATATTGTTAAAGATGCTCCTTGTGGTGCCTGTTATTTTAATAATGTGGTCTAACTCATATAATACAGTATCTGTGACAATATTTGCAATTGTATTTTGACCTCAGTGTATTAACAGATAAAGTTTACAAGCCAGTTTTTATCTTTTTGCCAAAAGTATGTCCGTGATTAATAAAACCTTTAGATGAAATAGCTTTTTTTTTCATAGAACATTTATAATCTTGTTAACCTTTGGAATTCTGAAACTTTATATTGGGTCAAATTGTTCTTGCTTATCACTTAGGCTTTCTTGTGGCTTTTAGATTTTCTGTGAATAATGAGTGTTCTTAGATACACTACACAATAGTGACTTGTCAAACTACTGTATTTATATGTGAGATATACTAGTTTTAGAGATTTTCACATGACTCTTATGTATGAACTTCAGCCTTTTAGTGGGTAAATAAAAGACTTTTAAAATTTCTCTTTCAGAACAAAGGAAGAATTATGCACGGGACAGTATTAGCAGTGTGTCAGATGTATCCCAGTACCGTGTTGAAGTAAGATGCTTTGGTGTTTGCTAATATTTAGAATGACCATTGAAGGACTTAAAAATTGGCACTAAAATTAGAATTATGTTTTATTTTATTCTTATCATGTATTTTAAGTTGTGTTGACCTTTTAGATTTTTGTAAAACTGAGGTGTTAGATATAAAAGTATCTTATTAGTGTGAGGTCTGTTTTCATAGAGAATAAATTAAAATCATATCCATTACTCATTTATCATTGCCAGCCTTATTTCTTTTTTCTTTTTTTTTTTTTTTTTTGTCTTTTGTCTTTTTCCGTGTCCCGCAACGGATCGCAACCCTCAGTGTTGCCCCCGTACCGGACCAGGGACCGGCAACGGGATCGCAACCCTCGGTGTTGCCCCCGCGCCTCGCTCAGCCAGCGAGCGGGAACCGGTCCGTATGTGGGATCCGAACCCTCGGGCGGGAGCGCTGCTGCGCTTCCCAAGCGGCGCACTTATCCAGTGCGCCACCGGGCCGGCCCTGCCAGCCTTATTTCTATTATAACAGGACAAAGGTTTCTATTTTGTACTATAGAATCTTCTTGAAATTAAGTCTTTGACAGTATCAGTGAGTGGTTTAGTTTTATTTTTAGTTTAATCTAAAGTCATTACTAGTTCAACTTACACAATGGTTTCTTTTTTTTAGTTTTTGCTCTATTGTTATCTTTTAAGATATATGTTCTTAATTGGAATCTAGGTGACCTCTGCTTATAATAGAAAATATTTATGTAGGGAAGTAATTTTTAAATTGCTGTTATTTTCAGTTTTCTACCTATCTCAACCATGCTTAATTAAATTTCAATAGTTTTGTTTCAACAAGATGTTTCAATAGAGTGAAAAGTTTGACAGTTGTTACAGACTAGAATTGCTGTTGCTACTTCAAAAGATTAGTGTCCATAGTTTTGAAACTGCCATATAGATTGCCTGTTCAACCTTTAAATAGTCATAATAGAATAAAATGGGGGAAAGTTTATTTTAAAGAAAATGTTATTTAAGCTGACAAGAATTTGTTCTGATGTCATGTTTGTGTAGTTCAACATGGCTCAGTATGAAACAGTTTTAGATATCTCATGAGTCATGACATCATTTTCTTTATTCAACAAGAACTTGCCTGACTTTATTCTCAACAAGGTAATCATGAAGTTCTGGAGTCATTTGTGTTTGTCTCTCATTTCTCTGCTTGCTGACTTCAATTAGGTTAATTCTAATTTCTTTTGGAAAATGTGTACCAAGAGGTTATTTGTGTTACAAATATTTTTTCTTTGTGCCAATAATAAGCACTTGACTACCTTTGTCCTGGATCGGAAAGATGCTATGATAACTGTTGATGATGGAATAAGGAAGCTGAAATTGCTTGATGCCAAGGGCAAAGTGTGGACTCAAGATATGATTCTTCAAGTGGATGACAAAGCTGTGAGCCTGATTGATTTAGAATCAAAGGCAAGTTTGTAAAATTTATACTATTTTATTTTCAAGAAAGCTCCACAAATATTAATCTTTCTAATCAGGTTAGATTGTTTGAAAATGGGTGGAAATTTGACAAAGTAAAATATTTGCTTTGTTTATAGAATGAACTGGAGAATTTTCCTTTAAACACAATCCAGCACTGCCAAGCTGTGATGCATTCATGCAACTATGATTCAATTCTTGCCCTGGTGTGCAAAGAGCTAACCCAGAACAAGCCAGATCTTCATCTTTTCCAGTGTGATGAGATTAAGGTAAAAGAACGGTGAACTTATTTTTACTCTTTAAACAGATGTCCTGGAAGCTATTTTGATCATATGGATATTAGGTACTAGATTTTTAGTTTCTGAGAATTTTGTAAGGAAAACAAATATATTAGTATCTTCTTTAAGGTTTCCATGTCAAGTAAAAAAGAGGAAATGAGAGTGATATTGAAAAATTAGATGCATTCTGTTTATTTTTTTTTAAAGTGCAGATAATATATTAAATTTTCATCAAGTGCGTTAGACATAATTAAAAATTGATTCTTCAAAAATCATGCTTCATGGGCAGCAAATAATCATGCTATCTTGTTTTATTCTGCACTAATCACATAGTGTGGATTATTGCAGTGAAATGCTTAGACATTTCCCACGATATTGACTTAAATTTCATCATTTAATTATGTGACTTGAATAATTGTTTAGGATTTGTAATCCACAAGTGATATGTGAAAAATGTGGAGCATAGATACCAGTAATAACAGGCTATATCCTGAAAATTTCTGTTTCAAAGTACACTGTAATTTTCAGATGATTATAATTTACGATGCTTTATTGAACCTTAGAAGTTATCTTCAACCTTGAATGTCTTTATTTCACAAGTTGATTTTTCTAAAAGGGAAATCATTTTGTGTTGCTTGATACTTTGCCAAAGCAATGATTTGTAATTTTGATTATATATTATAAAATGTACACATAACTTTTATAAAGAAATTCTGGGAGATTGGCATAAAAAGTCATTTGATCTTTTCTGTATTTCTTTGACATTAAAATATGATGGATAATCTGAGATTGACTGTCAACCATATATTTTATAATTTTCTTCTAATTTTAATTTATGGCATAGTTGACATTCTAAAAATCTTATTTGAAAAGAGCTATGGCATATAGGTAATTTGTATATATGATGTTCATCAGATTTTTATATAGTGCCTTTAAAGTCATAAAATAGGGTATTTCAAAAAGTTCATGAAAAAATAGAATTAAAAGGTAATATAAATGTTTCCATGGTCTTTTTGAAGTACCCTCATATATTAAGAATTTCATAAGGTTAGATGTGTTAAACCAATAAATGTTATAAGTAAATATTTTGCTCAGACAATATAGTAAAATTTAATTCAAACGTTTTTAAAATACAAGACTAAGTTAAAAGACATTTCAAATTTGGTGCTTATGTCTGTGCTCTAAAAGTTCCCCTGGGAGCTAAAAGTTATTCATGCTAAGTACAGTTTCTGGATTTCAGTTCTGAGAATAAAGTGATTGCTTTATTTGATATGGAATGGAAATAGTGATGAGTTCAAAATGGATTTACTGAATACTGTTTGTCCTAACTAAAAGCTCATGTACCACTAAGCAGCTACACATGTTTACGTATTGGTGGTATATTCCACATAAGAGATACTTTTTTCCCTTGGATGATTAAAAATATAAATACAATGGTATACAATGCATCTTCTTTTTTATATATCATCTTGCAGTATTGCGTTTGAGTTTTAAAGTTTCTTTATTATGGGGCTTCCCACAATGCTCCTGCTCACCTTTGTAGTAATATTTTTCTTAGAAATGCAATAACTCTCCTGTAAGAAGTTCAGGGTTCCTAGGCATCTTCAGTTTTAATATACCATATAACAGCCTTTGACGTGATGTTTATAATGTCCTATTGAAACTAGGGTGTTCTTATGGAAGTAACATTGAACTGAGATGCAATATTCTCATTTAACTAGCAGTATGACCTTGGCTGGCCATTTTATACCAGTATTCCTCGGTTTCATTAATTAGAAGAGAAGGAGAACAGATTAGGTGACTTTTAAGTGTCCTTTCAGCCCTAAACTTTTGATTATCAGTACGTACTGTAAAAGAATATACCATATGCATCCTTGAGAAAAACATACATAATTACAGAGAACTAGCAGGCACAAAAATAAAAGATGAATACATCTCAGCTACAATCTAACGTACAGTAATAATCACTGGCTATAAATAAACTTTATAACCAAACATAATAAACTTCTTAGCTGCAAATCTTGCATTGATTCCCAAGAAAATTTAATCAGAAGTTCTTGTTGGAAAATTATTGGAAAAGCTCAACATTTGCAGAAAATTAATTTTTTCCTGAAATGACAAAATAAAGTGATTATCAAAAAGTATACAACCGAGTGTTGCTATTCATCCCATGCGTATGATGGTTTTGCCTTAAATGAAGAGGGACTCTGCTGGGACTCACTGATTTGTTCTGGTGGGTTGATGAGTGTCTGGTGGGTTGATGAGTGTCCGGTGGCTCTCGAGGCTGAAACAGGGAAGGAACTCCACTCTGTGTGTAGGTGGATATACCTACCCAGCTTATTCTTTCAGCATATGCATATTCTTTTTATCTTTGCCTTTATTCAAGGATAGCTTTTCTAAAATTAAGGGAATCAGGAATAGCTAATCTCTGTAAATTGCTTCAGCTTTTAAATCCTGTTGAACGTTCACCGTTAAAAAACTGCAAGAGTCATGTTTTGAAAGCAGATTTTTTTAAAAGAAGACTCTCTTTTTATATCAAGATACTTATTGATTCAGACAAGGAACATAATCCCTTTTTTTGTTTTGACCTGCATATCAAGACTCAGAAAAATCTATAACCTTCCAGGTAACTTGTCTCTCGTTGCAGGCAAGCCTAATTAGTGAAGATATTGAAAGTGCGATCAGTGACAGCAAAGGAGGGAAACAAAAGAGGCGGCCTGAAGCCCTGAGGTAAAAACATGAAAAGAAATTAAGGGGTGGAACTGATTTATTTTTAAGTCTTTTTTCCCTTCTAAACGTTTAGAAAAATTATTTTCAATGTAGATATGTTATTATATTTTACAGATTACAACCTGTAGTCTCAACTCATTTGCTTGCCCAGGTTTGTCAATATGTGTTTTGCCCCTTCTTTTTTTTCTCCATGTTTCTGGTCTTTCTCTGACATGGTTTCTCCTCTCCTCCTACTTGTGTTGGAAGTCACAGAGACTCGTGAAAGATGAGTGGGTTTTCAGAGAAGGTAGCCTAGGGAAATACAAACTAGACGTGAGAACCGTAATCGGTCTACAGCCTTTCCAAATCACACCAGACCCAGAAACAAATTCAACCTAGTTATCAGCTGAACTTTAATGTTTTGTATTCTTGTATTTCATATGCATTTATAAATATACATGATATGGAATGGTTAGGAAATCCTTACTGCCTCTTGACATAGTTCTTTTTTGAGGTTGAAGAACTAATAAATCAAGAGAATTGATGTGTTATAGAAATAGGGATGGTAAAAATCCAATTTGTTTTCATCTTTTTTAGGATGATTTCCAAAGCAGATCCTGGAATACCGCCTCCACCAAGAGCCCCTGCCCCTGTACCCCCTGGGACTGTTACCCAGGTGGATGTCAGAAGTCGGGTGGCAGCCTGGTCTGCATGGGCAGCTGACCAAGGGGACTGTGAGTATTTCTAGAATTAATACTTTTTGGACGCTTAACTTTGGGTTGTGACATATTTCTTACTTTCAGATTCTGATGCTGATTTCCAAGCTGGAAGTTAAGGTAGTTTTTAAAGATTAAATCTTAGATAAAGGAAAAGTTTGACCTTGAATACTACTAAGGTAGTTGTCTACAAGAGTTAAGACCAGCCATTTAATAAATATGGTGTCAACATTAGAGTCTTTATTTTGTTAGTGCTGAGAGGAAGTTTCACTTGACTAACAAAAAGGTGGTAATAGAATATATACCAAATAAGAGATTATCAGTTTTTTAAAAAAAGATTGTACTTCAGATTCTTTTTATTTATTGTTATCTTATCACTGCCCCTTCTTGGACAAATTTGTTGTGGTTAATGGAAAGGATGTCAGAAGAGTGGTCAGGCATTGGCAGTAAAGAAGGAGTAAAAGGCATTCACATGGCTAAACTTGTCAAAAGGGCTCTGTGTATGTACTATTATTTCACCTGGGCATTCTCTTTAAAAACGATTGTAGCATAGAACTTAGTTTAACCGTTTTTATGTCAAAACATCTTACTAGAATCAGAAATTTTTATAACTGCAAAATGCTTTAAAATATGTGTAGTCCAGTCTCTTTACTTTAAGGGTAAGTTGTGATCCAGCAAGTTTGAATTTGATGACTCTTGACCCTCACTCTTTTGCCTCCTACTCCAGTAGGATTCTTAAATCACTTATCCTTTGTCCAGTAAAATGTTATTTATATGAGCATCTAGCAGTGCTGTTAAACAGTCTGACTCAGTTATCAAAATGAGTGACGTTGGGCTCTACTTTGGAATCTGATGGGTCAAGAGTTGGGCTCTGAAGCAAGCAAGGCCTGGATCTGTGTATACCTGTTTGAGCTTGGATGGTTAGCTCCCTGTGCTTCAGCCTCATCTATAAAGTGGGGATAATAATTCATGGGTTGCTGTGAATCTGGAAGCTAATATTGCCTATAACAGTACCTGGCACAGAATGGTAAGCATAGTTTGTGGTTGTTTTCATCTTGCCAAATTGAGTTCATTTTTTTTTTCTGAGTTGTTTTCCATTTTATTTAGATTTCTTGCATTCTTAAAGGTATTTTCAGAGGTTTATATGTAAGCCTAGCTACCAAAGAGATGAAAGAAATCTTTGAAGCATTCATTTTTCAGAAATAAAGTAACAGGATTATTATTTGCTTTAATTTTATGATTTTAATTTTATATTTTCAGGAATTATGTAAGTTTCTATTGATCCACTTTATATTTAAGAGTTGTGTTAAAAAGACTAAATAGGAGTTTATAATGTTTTCTACTTTTTGTGTACTTACGGTATTTTTGTTGTTACTGTTTTGACTGGGGGGGGTGTCTGGATCTCTTTTCTTTTATTTATTGTTTTAGAGAGATCAAGATGGTTTTTCAGGAAGTAGAGGAAGGATGAGATATTTTAAGCTTACAGACATTCTGAACAAACTTATAAAAACATATATTAAACCTAACGTAATTTACAAGAATGAGAGAATATATCTCCAGGGATTTCTGAGCTCTCATTAGATGTCTAAAATACTCTTTGCAATGTCATCTGTTGAAGTTACAGTGACATAAGGTTTTCAGAACTTGTAAATTACTGCTGGGCCAAACGGAATACAACACTAATTGCATGAGATGCTGTCTGGACCTTGGCCAATTTTTAATTGGGAAAAAAACCCCAAAAGGAGTATCTTTCTGTTCCCTTTGAAGTCTCTGGCTGACTCAGTTTCTTTTTTTAATCCCTGAGGTATCTACCCTTGACTTCCAAAAGCAGTCTCTATAGAATAGTGGCAGTGGCACTGGGGTTCCTAGTACTTTCTCAGACCTGACAAAGTCCTAGAGATACCATATCTCCCACTGTCACTCTGCCCGTAAGATGATATTTTAGGACCTATCTGGAGTCCCTAATAACTATGTTCCAACTTCAACTTACTGCTTTCTGTAGTACACTATAGCCAAGATAGCAGCTAACTGTGTGTAAAATAGCAGCTGTTTTATATATATAAATTTCATATATATAAATTTTAATTATCTTAGAGTAGTTAACAGCCTCTAATTAAGTTTCATCAGACTATGATTTCTTCTTCTTTTTGGCAGGTGTTCCATTTGTGGGTGAAGTTAGCATAGAGGAAGCGTAGCAACACAGAGTTTTCGATATATTTTGCAGTTCTGTGTATTGAACATCATGAGTCATGATGATGTATCATGAGTTATGTTTCCATTGGTGTGTACATTTCTCGTATTCTATTCATATTTTTTAAAATTTAAACTACCATGAAATATCTGTCACAACTATCTGTGTTTAGTGACAGTGCTAACTGATTCATACCAGGAAGGAATTCATGATAATGACCTCATGATAAACATCTTTCTGCAGCCAACAAATCAACCTTAACATCTTGAATGCTCTTAAGACATTTATTCTTTCGTTTGCAAATTAAAGTAGGTATTTCTTTTCTTTCTCTTTTTTTAATGGGTGGCTGGCCAGTATGTATTTCTGCTTTTAAAGCATATGGCCTAAAATTTATGAGCCCAACATTGTGGGTTTTAGGCTAACTTACAACTAGAATTATAGGAAGCACTCTACTGTCAGAACTCCCAAACTTTTATTGTAATCACAGTGTTGGGATGGACTCACATAAAAATTAGTAGCCCTGTCGCATTAAAACTTAGTTGGCTACTTTTTTTGTTGTTTTTTTTTTTTGACCGGTAAGGGGATCACAACCTTTGGCATGTTGTTGTCCGCACCACGCTCAGCCAGTGAGCGCACTGGCCATCCTGTATAAGATTCGAACCTGCAGCCTCAGCGCTACCAGTGCCACACTCTCCCAAGTGAGCCACGGGGCAGGCCCATAGTTGGCTACTTTTTGATAAGTAGGTCCTTAAATGCTGGTTTATATTTCTTTCTTGTGTAGGAATATTAGAGTTGTTCCCACAGGCAGGTGACACAGGGCAGAGGGGACATTCCAGGGTAAATAAATCCTAAGGATGGGAAGGGCAATACTTCAGCTCTTTCCAAGTGCTTCTGTTAGTGGTGGCAAGGATGCATTTCATGGACGATGAGCACAATTTTGTGTATCCACTGGAGGTGTTCCCTTTTGCAAATGGCACTCTTTTTTAGCCAGTTTTCATGCTTCAATTACCTATTTTGGTATTTTTTAAGGAAAAGGTTGAAAGACTTATGATTCTCCTTTCTTTAGTTGAGAAGCCAAAGCAATATCATGAGCAAGAAGAAACACCTGAGATGATGGCAGCCCGAATCGACAGAGATGTGGTAAGGACTGCAGTCATCTTTAGATCATTGGCTTTTTTAAGAGGAAACAAATATTTACAAGGAAATGAAGTTGATTTAAATAAAGATGTTTTGTGGAAACTATATTTTCTCTTTCCAGTAGTGGTTATGCCCTTTGAATTATTTTAGTTAGTGGACTTGGTTTTCTCTTTCTTCTTTAATGTTTTTGGTGGCTGGCTGGTACAGGGATCTGAACACTTGACCTTGGTGTTACAAGGCTGTGTTCTAACCAACTGAGCTAACTAGCCAGACCCTAGTTAGTGGACTTGGGCTGTGATAGAAGAACTAGCATATTAACTAGTTTGCAAGGGAATTTAAATTTAATTTTCAGATTTGAGGGATGGTCTATTTTTTCTTTTATCATAGTTTGTAATTCATAATTGAAATATCTTTTCAATATGTTTTCTTTGCATTTATTAAGAATGTATTTTAGAATGCCAGAAAGATAAAAGTTAAATGGCTTTTTTGAGGATAGATATATAAATTTTGATACTTTATAAAGGATGATGCTATATTTGTTTTTATTTCTTCATAGAAATATACTTGTAGAATGACACTGCCCTGTGACATAATCATAGAATGTGATGTTAATATAATTACTTTTTATATTGTACGCATGTTCTCTGCTCATTTGGAAACAAATAATTAAAGGAATTTGAAGTTTGGAATTTAATTTTTATATCACACTATATTATGTTATACTTAAAAGTATAGAAAACCCTAATTTCTAGTCTTTTAATTGGAAGAATGTCAAGTTTCATACATACTGGAAAAGATCAACTAAAACTAGAGTTGATCTTTGATGAGATAATCAAAATTGTTTTAATGATTCCTCAAAGAATCCATCATTAATTCTGTTTACCATGCAGAAACTCTTATTAATGCTTATTATTATGTTAGCAATGTGCTTGTTACCACAATGTTCTATATACCTTTAATTCCATGAAACTGATGAGATAATCAAAATTGTTTTAATGATTCCTCAAAGAATCCATCATTAATTCTGTTTACCATGCAGAAACTCTTATTAATGCCTATTATTATGTTAGCAATGTGCTTGTTACCACAATGTTCTATATACCTTTAATTCCATGAAATAATATTGTCAGTGCTTTATTGGAACATGTATTAGGAAAACAAAAATGCTCAGTGCTCTTCTAACAAAATGTTTCTTAGAACTTTTCCCCCTAATTTTGTGTGGGAGAACACTATGAGAAAATTAGAGTAATTGAAGATACTTAATAATCTGGGTAGATATTGTGAATGCTTTCATGATGGCATTGAAAATTAAGCAAAATTAAGCTGAAGAAAAATGTAAATGTCAGATTTTAGCCACAGGTATGTTTAATTCAGTTCTTTGTTTTCAGAATTAGTGATAAACTTGAAATTTGCATGTGGGGGTTGTTTCTTTTTTTTCCTTTATTTTTAACTTTATGTCCTTTGCTAACAGTGTGCAGCTAAAGCAAAAATAGTTTTGCTTTGTTTTATATTTTATTCTATAATTTCTAATTCCAGCAAATCTTAAACCATATTTTGGATGACATTGAATTTTTTATCACAAAACTCCAAAAGGCAGCGGAAGCATTTTCTGAGCTTTCTAAAAGGAAGAAAACTAAGAAAAGTAAAAAGAAAGGACCAGGAGGTAAGTTGGATTTTCTTAGTCTTCTGAAGACTATTCAGAACTCCAGTGCTAGGCAAGAGTTTCTGCCCTTGTGAACCGCTCAGCAAAACTCCATTGACCGTGGACCAAGTTCCCTTTTCTAGCTTTAGGGTAGCACCAGAGATGTAGGCAGAGAATAAGATGAGCCCAGGGAAAAGTCCATTTTGGTTCTGAGTTGGTTATAGTGAGGAAAGACCCTAGGATGCTCTACCTAAATCATAGAGACTCTGAGATTCAGGTAGTGACCATCTTCCTGTAGTTTTCATTAGTGATTATAAAATTAGTGTCTGTTGAAGAAAGTCATAGCTCTATTTTTCTCATATTTGGATTTATTTTATTATAAATATAGAATGTCATTATTTTGTTAAATAAAATATTTTAAAATGTCAATGGATTTGAAATTTTAATCACAAACCTTCAAACAGTAAATTCACATACAAAGTCACATACAAGCAATTTTGAAGTATGCTGCAGTTCAGCTATTTAAAATAGCTTAAAAATATATAAAATTATAACTATAGAAGCAATGTTTTTACTTCCCCTACTAAAATATATATAGATTAAAATATATAAAAAGAATAGTAAATAAAATCCCTTCCATTACAGATGACTTCCAAACCTCTCTCTAACTCATATGTATATAATAAGCATATGAACTTTAGCTTTGTCTTTCTAAATGTATATGTCTGGATATATCTCACTTCCACTTATTCTGAAATTAAGTATTATTGCTTCCTGGTATCTCAAACCACTTATTCCTCCTTAATTCTTTAAAAAGGATATACTCTCCTCTTGGCCACTCAGATTCGAAACCACAGATCTTCTATGACTTTATTCTCTATAGTTTATAGCCAACGTCAGTTTTATTTTCTCAGTGTCTCTTGTGTCCAGTTTTTTCCCTTTTCATTTTTATAACCAGTATCTTGTTCAGGCTGTTATGATTTTCCACCCAGATTTCTAAGCAGTTTCAAGCTTCACCTCTTTCGTGCTGTGAGAACAGATTTCTTAAAGCTCCAAGCCAGTCACTTTATTCTTCTGCTATATCATGTTAGTTCCATATTGTATTGATTTAAGTCCCAATTCCTCACCCTGGGTATCAGTGTTTCCACAGTCTAGCCTTGATCAACCCTTTCATTCTTATGTTTCTTTGCTTTTGTGTTTGTTGTGTCATGTACATACAACTTCCTTATTCCATGTTTTTGCTTATGCTGTTTTTATCCAACCATGATCTTTTCCCCACCAAATTGCCCTGGAAAAACCTTTCCATGAAACATCTTTTAGTTATACATTTTCCCACCTCCAAACCAGGTGTAGTCTCTTCTCATAACACTTAGTTGGTACTTCTTTGTTATTTACCTGATGTAAGTCTTCTATTAGATTTTAAGGCCCTTAAGTGCAGGGCTTGTAACTTACTCATTTTTATAATTTTCACTATTATTAGCACAATGACAGCACATAGAAGGGCTACAATATACAGTCATGGAAATTGAGTAATTGGTAGTGCTTAAGGGTAGAGGAGTCTATTTCAAACTTTGGATCTTAATTTGTTATAGTCAAACTATGAGATGTGGTAGAGTAACTATGTAGCATGTCTGGTGTGGTCATCAAACTTTACTGACATATATGTGGTCTTTGTTTTTTCATTTAATAAACTCTCTTGCAACTTGGCTCTGACCTACACCTACTCTTATTCATTTCATTAGAGGGTGTTTTAACACTGCGGGCAAAACCCCCATCTTCTGATGAATTTATTGACTGTTTCCAAAAGTTTAAACATGGATTTAACCTTCTGGTAAGTGAAATTTATTTATATATAATTAGAAGAAATATATGAAAAAGATCAAATCTAGCTGGGATGCTCCTGATTAAATTAAGAGATAAAATTGTTCTTATAGGATTTTTTTGTATGTATGTTTTGATCTGCCTTTAATAAAAACACCAAATCATAAAACATGTATATTTAAGAGACTTGGTTGAAAAGCAATGATTCCTAGTTTTTTGTAAACTAACTTCTCTTGATCTTATTCTCTTTGTGCTTATGAATATACTGAAAGTGAGGCTCATAGTAAAGAGTTCTGACTCTATGTTGGACATTTTTGAATCTCTATCTTTTGCTTGATTACATCATATTAATATATTTGCCTGTTTTCTTAATGTTACAGGCCAAACTGAAGTCTCATATCCAGAACCCCAGTGCCGCAGATTTGGTTCATTTTTTGTTTACTCCATTAAATATGGTGAGATTATATTAATTTAAAAAAATTATCATTCTTAGATGTTTTTCAACCCCAAGTGTCTGTCTGGATTACTTAGACAGTTTTTCTTCATTTCATTGCATGGGTACAATTTCTCTTTACATCTGTGTAAATATTGAAAAAGTGAAATTTGTGAGTTTAAAAGAACCTTAGAAATGATCTAGTTCAAACATCTTATTTTATAGATGAGGAAAGTGTTATCTCTGACAAAGCTAAGGATATGAAAAGAAATAAAGATTATTAGATATGAGTATTTCAGAATATACTAGTATATAAAATACAGTGGCTGGAATAATGTAGACATTTTTCTCTTTCTCACAAAATAGGCTAGTCATGAGAAGTCCAGTGCTAGACTTCTATGAAGTTATTTAGAGAACTGTATTCTTTTCACTGAGGTCTTCCTCCATCTCCTGCATTGTTTCTGATTTAATTGTTTATTCATTTATGTATTTATTTAAGAAATACTAATTGAGAGCCTCCTGTGTGCTTGGCATTATAGTAGCTCATCAGGAACAAAATAGATAAAAACTCTTACCCTCTTGGAACTTATATTGTAGTGTGGAGGGGCAGCCAATAAGCTAAATAAATGCATAAATAATACAATTTTCTAAAAATTAAATGCTGTGCAGAAAAATATAGAGCAAGGAAGGAGAATAGGGAATGCCACAGGCCGGTGCATGCACGTGTGTGTGTGTGTGTGTGTGTGTGTGTGTGTGTGTGTGTGTGTGTGTGTGTATGTGTATGGGGTGTTACACTTTTAAAATAGGGTTGGTTAAGGCAGCCTCACTGAGAAAATGTCAGAGTAAAGAAAGTAAGGAATGAGACATGCAAATTTCTGAAGGAAGAGAATTCCAGACAGAGCTGCTAATGAAAAAGATCTGAGGTGGTCCCATGCAAAGCATGTCTTGGAATTAGTAGGTATTGTGACTTGAATAGAACGAGGGAGGAAAAGATTAGAAGGAGATGAGATCAGCAAGGTAACAGGAGGACACATCTTTTTGGTCCTTATAGAGGCTTGTGAGACCTTTGACAAGGAGGGTTTTTAGCAGAAAAGTATTGCTCTGGTTACAATGTATAGAAATTTGGGGGAAGAAGGGGATAGAGTGGCTATTAAAATAATCTAGATGGAAGATTGTGGTGCTTGGACCAGGTAGCACTGGAGGTGGTGAGAAGTCTGATCTGCTTATAGATTTGCTGGTAGATTGGGTATGCTGTGCAAGAGCCAAGGATGCCTTCAAGGTTTTTGCTCTAAAACTGGCAGGATGGAGTCACCATTAACTAAGATGGGGAAGACTGTGGGTAGAACAGATTTTTGGAGGAAGATGAGGAATTCAGTTTTAGACATGTCAAAATTGAGTTGTATCGAGATGGGGAAATTTGAATTGATAGATGAATATACGAATTTGGAGTTCAGTGGAGAAATCAGGCCTAGCAATGTATTTTTGAGAAGCATCTGTATATGGAAGCAATTTAAAGCCATGAAATTGGATGATATCACTAAGGTAGTGATTGTAAAGAGGTTGAGCCCTGGCTATTTTCAATGTTAGGAGAGTGGGAATAACCAGTAAAGAAGATTGAGAAGAGGCAGTAAAGGAGGAGAAGAAAAACAAAGAGGTTGTGATATTCTGGAAGACAAACGAAGAAAATGTTTCCAGGAGGAGCAATTGAATACCTGTGTTAAATATCTCTATGGCAGAAGCTGGTTTTCCTCCATTGCCTTGTAACAGCCATAGAAAGGCAAAGAAAGTGCAGGGAAAGAACTTTCCCTGTAAGGAGGTGGCTCCAAATTAAACAGATAATTTCTGCCATTATTCAGTTGGCCTGAACATCCTCATAGGGTCATTCCTAACTGCAAAGGAATATAGTCTCCATCTGGATAGGTATTTTCCATCTAAAATGTAGGAGCTTCTTTTTTAGAAAAAAAGGAGGGAGAGGACGATGGATACCAGGGAAAAATTAGCAGCCTGTTGTGTGCCAGGTTTGGTGATATGCACATAATACAATTTTCCCCAGAAATCTCCCTTCTCATACATGTATATTTTTACATGAGTTATAATTACCAAAGCTAACAAAATGATGTATTGAGAATAATTCTCTTTGTGAATGAGCTGGATGGTTTTATTAGTTTATTTGGCAAAATATTATACCACTTGTGTCATAGGCCAGGACCAGATCCATATCTTCACTTTGTAGATTTTCAGTATCCAGGTATGCTCTTTCCTTATATGTTTAATGAAATAGGTACATTCATATCTATTTTATATTTCTTATATTTGCATGTAGTATAATAGCAGTTTTTCCTTCCCATTTTATATTTCTTATATTTGCATGTAGTATAATAGCAGTTTTTCCAAGCTGCCATTGTGTACAATCATCTTGTCTTACAGGACAGCTGGGAGAAGTAGGTGGCATAATATTTAAAAGTATACACAGAAAAGTGCTGCGGTTTGGGAAAACCATGGCAGCAGAAAGCAGATGGAATAGTTGTTGGTTTTACACACAGATCCCAAAAGAGAGTGGGTGACAAGGCACCCTTTTCTGCAATTTTACAAATTTGATAGGTCATTCCCCTTTTCGTGGGGGAAGACAAGTGAGAGAGGAGTAGAAAGAAGGCAGAATCTCTTTTAGATATTTCCAGGATGAAAGAGTTTTCTGTTTTAAGGGATAAGGCAGGTATGCATGGACTGGTTGTAAATGGTTCACCCTATCAAAAGAACAAATGGTTATTTTATAGACCGACAGTAGCAGTTATGAGAATTGTTAGTGATGCGTGATTGCTCTATGTATTATTTCTGTGATTTTTTTTTTTTAGAATAAGAATAGCAACCATATGAAGCAGCTAAATTTTACTAATTTTGATTGAGAGCATGTAAAGATTATAGTAATTGAGTTCTTTAATATTTATCAAAAGTGGAGCATATTCAACATATCTCATAGATTTTACTTGAATATCAGAAAAAAATGAAAGAGAATCCAAGTAACAGAAAGGGATAAGTTTCATCTTTCTTTTCCCAGGGGTAACTAGACAAGACCTAACGCAGAATATGAAATGAGTATTGCTTTACAAACATAGGGAAGTAAGTAACACTATCAGCATGAATGTCAAAGCTGAGCAGTAAGAGATTAGAAGATGAAAGTTCAAGACGGCATCAATAACTTATGAACACTTCCGTGTGTTGTTGCTATTTATACAGCATCAGATTTCTACTTGTCTGGTTATTGTTGAATAATTTTTGCTATATAAGCTCTTTTAAAAATTAAATCAAGGCCATACATATGCAAAGAAACCGATACTAGCTCATTAACAAAATTTGTATTCTTTATTCTTTAACACCTTTGATACTATCTTAGTTTGAGTGTTGGGAAGTGCTGTTTATAAAGCAGCCCCTGCCGCCACCTCTTATTCTTTTCACGCTCTTTCCCAGATCCTAAGTGGATGTCTAGTCATTACACAAAGTAGAGCTGTGAAATGATGGGACTGGTCTCCCTAACATACACAAAGTCGTCTTTGTGATCAGACTGTGTATCTGAAAATACTGATTTATTTTATCTTTGCCTCTCTCAGAAATAATTCCTTCATAATGGTCTCCCAAATCAAAATACTTTTGTTACTCTGTTTAATGTTCTCCCCACAGGGCCCCAGACATTTTACTTGGAGATGGGAAGGAACATTTAAGGGCCATTTTACTTGGACAAGGGAGATGGGAAGGAACATTTCTTCAGGGTCTCCTACTGGCCAGACAAAATTTAGTAGTTTTAAACCCTGTGGGTCCCTCCCCTCTACCCTCAGCATGACATTTTACTTGGAGATGGGAAGGAACATTTAAGGGAGATGGGAAGGAACATTTCTTCAGGGTCTCCTGCTGGCCAGACAAAATTTAGTAGTTTTAAACCCTGTGGGTCCCTCCCCTCTACCCTCAGCATGTCCACTCAGCATACCCACAGCACACATGCCTGCTCACATTCCTGAGAGGGAACTATGTCCTTTATTTACCTTTCTTTCATTCCATTTCTTCTTCCCTCTGTTAAAACAAGGATTTTAATATTCCTCTACTGCTTTACTTTACTCTCCTACGTTTCCCTCATAGTCATTAGTCCGTATTTACTGGAAATGCTTGTAGGGCTTGGAAGTTGAAAATTCCTGTGCCAGGTAGTCAAGGTAGGTTTTGTTCTCAGGTAAGAGTCAGCCTACCTCCTTCTTTAGCTGTCTTTTCTTTATTGTCATTCATTCCCCTAACACTGTATCTTCTGCACTTCAAAATCAAGTCAGCCTAAGTCCAAGTTCTCAAGGAGAGGAAATTGAAAACTAAGCCGTGGTGTTACAAATATGTATAGTTGTTTTGAGGACACTGGGTGTAGGGTGGGGGGTGGCACATCAGAGTTACCCAGTGAGGTTAAGGAAGGCTTCCCAGAAGTGGTACTGGAGTGGAGTTCTTAGTGATGAAAGGAGGGCCTTCTGGGGAACTGGGAGCTGCATGTGCAGATACACATGGGCCTAAAGCAACATAGCATGGGAAGCACCCCTGGAGTACTGGGGAGATCCTGACTCTTGGTCTGGAGCCATTTGAAAAATCTTTCTTCTTGTGCCACGTCTCTGAGAAAGTGAGATTTTTATAAAAGGGACCTGGTTCTGCTTTAGGAGATAACCACCATTCTTTAGCCAGGAAATAGCTCCTGAGAAGTAAATTTGGAGCAGTTTTCAGACATGCACTTCTCATCGTTTTGTTTATCAGAGAGATGCACCTGTTTATTTGTTTCTGCTAGCCCTTAAATTATCCATATGAAATCAGGGAAATTTCCTAGAATTAAATCTGGGGTAAAATGCCATAGATTCAGAGAACCAGTTCTCATTCTTCTCTTACCATTCTCCCTGGATCCTTTATTCTTGTATGTCAGCATAGACACAGCCATAGCCTGCTAATTTGAGCCTTGTTTCTCTTCTTTTTTTTTTTTTTACTGACCAGCAATGGGATCGCAACCCTCGGTGTTGCGCCCACACTGCGCTCAGCCAGTGAGCGAGAACCAGTCTCCACATGGGATCCGAACCCTCGGCGGGAGCGCCGCCGCACTCCCAAGCAGCGCACTCTCCAGTGCGCCACCGGCCCAGCCCGAGCCTTGTTTCTCTTGATAGTATTCATTTCTGAAACCATATTTTTCAAGTTTGGCATAATAGATTTGCCAGTGGAGATACATATACTAAAAAAACAAAACAAAAAACAGAGATAGTTCAATCACCTGACTTAGAATTCTTGCATAGCAGTTAGTATTTTCCAGGGAAATTACAGTCATAGCAGCCAATAGGCAGATACTGTGAAAGTTGTCAAACTGTTAACTTTCATTTTAGATTTTAAGGAACTGTTGGGCTGGACAAGTTGATTTGGTAAGCTGTTTTTCATTCAGTAGTGCATTGCACAATGTCAAAATTTGAGTATATAAAAGCAGTGCTTTTTTCTGGCATGGGTTTTTGTCTACATATTTTGAAAATACACAAATAATGGCCATCTTGCAAAAAATGATTTATTATCATTTCAGGTGGTACAGGCAACAGGAGGTCCTGAACTAGCCAGTTCAGTACTCAGCCCCCTATTGACTAAGGACACAATTGATTTCTTAAGTCATACTGTCCATAGCGATGAACGGCTGCTGTGGATATCATTGGGAGAAACTTGGATGAAAGCCAGGTAAGCATCTATGAGTTTAGCATTTAATTCCTGTCATGCTTTACATATTGTTCTTTGTTTATTACATGGATCTAACAAGAAATTTCTTTAACCTTTTATGTATGAAGAACTAGGTGTTATAGGTTGAAAAAACCTTAAAAAGCTAGAAACCTTAAAAAGCTAGAGGAGATAGAAGTATATGCGATATAAGGCATGATAAGTGCCAGGAGAGAGTTATAAGCAAAATGCAGTCAGGAAGAGGATTTAGAGAGGAGGGTAGTTAGTGTTCAAGGAAGAGCTGGCATTTAAAATCAACAGTTAAAAATACTAGTGGGTATATGTATATATACATATACATTTGCATACATATATGTAATGTGTATACACACGTATTTATAGATAGCATTTCCTATGTACTCTCCCATGCACTTTACATAGGTACTGTTATTATCCCTATTTTACAGATGAGGAAAGTGAGGCACAGAGAGGTTATATTTGTCTAAAGTCACACATGTGTGTGACGGAGCAGGGATATGAACCTAGGCCATCTGGCTCTGGAGTCATTGTTTATATTTGCTAAACTGCCTTTCAGCAGGAGGGGTAGGATTTCCACAAGTACATAGCAGGGAAAGGGCCTTTCCAGTAGAGGGAGAAGCACAAGCGAAGGCAGGAAGCAGGAATGTCAAGAGAGTGAAGTATGAATACGGGTTTAGCTGGAATACGGATTTTGGGTAGTGGATGGTCGTGGAGAAGGTGTGGGGAGGAATGGTGTTAAATGAGGCACACAGAGATGAACAGGGCTGGCTGGTGAAGGCTGCCAATGCCAGCTGAGGGGGGAGAGCATGGTTCTTCATGCTGTGGAGAACCAATAACTTAATGAATAGGAGTGTGACTTAATCACATAAATATTTTAGAAACAACAGTCTGGTAGCTGAGTCTAGCAAGCATAAGGACAAAAGTAAAAAGCAGAGAGGCATCTTGGGATGTTATTGCTATAGTAGAGGTAGTTTCTTATTAACCAGTATTTTCAAGAACGGGAACAGTCGCCCTGGGATTGAAAGGAGGAATAGATAATTTTAAGAACCATGCTTTTGTTAATAAAGTAATGTGGAAGACAGATCATTAATGATTGCAGTGCTGATGCTTGCTGAACAAGGCAAGTTAAAAAATTTCTAATTTCATGATATGTGAATAAATAATTTTTGCTTTACTCATTTATCCAAATCTTTTTATTTCTCTCATTAGTTAGAGTAAATCATTCATTATGGTCACTTAGAAGTTTGTCTTCCTAATGCTTTTGAATGGGCTAACCTATAAGTCCTGACCAATTTATAAGTTTTTTTCTCTCTTTTTCCTCTTGTAAAACATACAGACCATTACCCCAATTTTTTTTTTTTTGGGCGGCTCGCCAATATGGGGATCCGAACCCTTGACCCTTGAGTTGTTATCAGCGCCGCACTCTAGCAGGTGAACTAACAGCTAGCCCCCACTTACTTGTTGGACTCTGGCAACGGCTTGTGTTGGAATGTAGTTCAGATTGAATAGTTTATCAAGCAGAACGTCTTTGAAAGCATGGCAGTTCCTGCTTTTATGTTGAAAACATTTAAATTCGTTTATTTATATTATTTATGTATTAATATATCATACTATAAACTATGTCATACTAGTTTTTATATGTCATACTATGTAAAAACTAGTTAAATAGATTTCTTAAATCTATAAGATTTATGTAGATTATGATTTTATGATAAACCTAGGTGGGATCTTTTAATTTTTTTCTTGAAGCTCATTAAATTTATCAGATCTCGTAGTACAAAAATAGCTCAGGCTCTTTAGTTTCTTTGTTTTGTGTCCTACCTCCAAATGAAAAAATTAACAATTATTTTAAAAACTTTATGAAAAGGTAATGTATTTTTAGTTCTTAGCATGAGAAAAGATTCATTTCAGATCCTGATTGTTAAGAGTATTAGGAAATGAATGTACTGATTTAAAAACTTGTAAAGATGAAAAGAATCATGGAGGTACATAATAATCTGAATAAAATGTCTCATTTCATCATAGTAGAAATATAACATGAAGAATTAAATCACATATGAAAGATAAAGCAACATAGTATAGCAAAAATTAAGCCATAATTTTTATCCTAGTTATTTTTGTAGTTCATGAGTCATTCGGAGCTTGTAAAAATAAGTCTCACTCAGAGTTATTAAATGATGAATGAATTATGATTATAGATTAGTCGACTTTACCGATTAAAATGGAGCTGTTACATTGAATTTATAAAATTGGTTATCTATTTCATTTTAGGGGAATTCATAATTTAAAAAATCATAAACTTTAAGGACATGCTAGATGGTTTCTCTTTTGAAAGATATATCTAATATCAGGAGATTTCACAGTGATGAGAGGGGAGTGAAGGGAAGGATGAGAGTCTGAAACTACTTTAGATGTTAGAGAAATTTTGGGCCGGCCCTGTGGCTGACTCAGGAGAGTGCCGCGCTGGGAGTGCCGAGGCCCCGGGTTCGGATCCTATTTAAAAACCTACATACATGTAAAAAGTTGAGTTCAATGGAGAATTGAGGCAATGCACTGAAAACATAATATGCAGCAGAATTCAATCTTCCTTTCATCTTACTGGTGTTGAATATGAGTATAAACATTTTTGCTTTTCTTTTTTGGGTAGATGGAAGGCAGATTAAGTATATTTTGCTTTTGTTTGTTATTTATTTATTTATGGCTGGCCTTACTGAAGATAATTGTTAGCCTGGATACATTTCTTAATTTTGTTGTTTATATATGCCTTGATGTCCTCCTACAGAGCAGAGTGGCCAAAAGAACAATTTATTCCACCATATGTTCCACGGTTCCGCAGTGGCTGGGAGCCCCCAATGCTGAACTTCACAGGAGCTCCATTGGAACAAGATCTTTATCACCTGGCTGAGTCTGTGGCAAATGTAGCACAACATCAGCGCAAACAAGAAATAAAAAGATTATCCAATGAGGTAAAGTTTTATCATCACCTTTTGCAGATAGTGCAGTAATCTGTGCATTCTCTTGTAATTCTGATGGTTAGTTCTCATTTATTGATCTGAAGGTTGTTCTAGAATCAGTGACTGAATGTTACCCTCTATTGCTGCCCTGAGTTGCCTCTGTCTCTTACTTCGTCATTTTTGTGACAGTTGTTCTGTTCCCCTATAAAACCCACCCCCAGCCCATATCATTCTCCTATAGCCTGTCAGTCCTCACTTCTACCTCTGCTGCCACTGCCCCCTAACCCTGGTGATCCTGGTGATCCTAAGTATCTTTGAATGTGTGCTTTCTCTCCTTGTCAGGAAATTGCCCTACTGCCACTTGGCTTATTTCTTTCCATTTTCCTCTCCTACTGTCAGACCCATGAGTGACCATTCCCTGAACCTACATCCTCTGAGTTTGTCCCAAGCAGCTCTTCTCTGAGCATCCCAAATTCATTCCTTCTTTCTTTTTTGCCTACTTCTAAATCTCTGGAGTCCTATCAGCCTGTCTAGAGGACCAAAGCTTTTTCTAGGCTTCAGTGCTCAGGCTCAAGTGATTATTTGTAACTCTGTTACATCCTGAGCAGATCATAAAATTTATTTTATCTTTAAAGTATTTAGTAAGCTTTAGAGTATAACCTATTTGGGGAGCAAATTGAGGGACTGAAATTGGGCATATCTTGTCACATTCCTTAAAAAGGAATTTACATGACTCTTCTTGTTCAATTGGAAAAGAAAATTGAAGATTGATTAAAGCTGAACCAAATACAAATAGGATGACTAGAACCTGAGGAATTAGATGAATGAGGTCTGGTTTGAAGAAGAAACAGTAAATGATGACTAGATCCTCCTGAAGTTCTATTCATTTCCTTTATTTAATTCCTTGATTAATTTTCTCAGACTACCATAGGTATTTATAAAGTGGCAAACATGATGCATGATATGAAGGAATGAACTAGCAAACCACAGAAAATTACATCCTGCGACCATTTTTAAGGAGAAATATTTATCTAAATTAAATTTCTTTAAATTGTTCCCTTGGGGGACTATTCTTTGGACAACAACAATATTATTACAGAAGATTGGTTAAATTCCTGAAACTTTCAAAATAAGGCAAATGTACTGCTTTGAAATTAGACATTTTCTTTCTTTCTTTTTTTTTTTTCCTTTTTGTCTTTTTTCGTGACCAGCAACGGATCGCAACCCTCAGTGTCGCGCCCGTACCGGACCGGGACCGGCAACGGAATCGCAACCCTCGGTGTTGCGCCCGCAACTCTCTCAGCTAGTGAGGGGCCGGTCTGTATGTGGGATCCGAACCCTCGGCAGGAGCGCCGCTGCGCTCCCAAGCGGCGCACTGTAGCAGTGCGCCACCGGGCCGGCCCAAAATTAGACATTTTCTAATGTACTTGTTTTCTCCTCTGGCTGCATATAAAGGAAGAGGTGGATTCCATACCTGCTCTTCCCTCTAAATGAGTAATAATGAAGATGTCCTCACTGCTCTGAGACTTGGTTGGCAAACACATGTCCCTACCCGTATTCTATAGTTCAAGCTTTATCACTATGAATTTTCTTCCCATGTAGAGGGCAACTTTTCTAGAGGAAGAAAAAAATGTAATCAAACATAAATTATGATACACTTGCTGTTCCTATAGTTACAGCTATTTTCAAATCGTAAAAATTTTTAGATTATAGTTTTTACATCTTAAATAAGAAAATATACCCATTTTATCATGTATGCCACAGAAATTCACTTCTGTGAGTTCGTTTTCAATTTGTGTATTTAAGAAGAGAGTAATGTGTTCTGTGCTTCTAGTATATGTTTGTCTATTCTCACCAAATAAGTAATTTTAAAAGAGGAATTATTGAGAATCCTTCCTTGTAATGAGTTATTATTTTCCTGTTGTAAACTATTTCCCATTTTATGGCTTAAGTAGTTATTCAGAGGTTTTTTAAAAAAAATGAAATGAAAAACAAATGTTAACAGTTTTAGGGGATTTTATGCCTTGAGATTTTGTTGGAAAAGAGCCAAGTAATGGTGATTTAAAATGCATAAAAATGTTATCATTCCTAGAAGAGAGATTTTATTGTAGTTTATTGTTACTATAATAAATACATTTACAACAAGACTTGGGTAATTCAGGATGTGGTGATTTTGTTTGGAATTAAAAGGTGTAGGTGGGGTGGGTGGCAGTACTCAGCTTCTGTACTTCCTTGAATCAGCAGCAGCCCTAACCAAGGTTGTGTAGTCGTCACAGTCAGTCATTTGTCATCATCTTTCTCCTCCCTTCCAGAATGCACAATAACTCTCAAGACCCAATGACTTCATACTGGCTGACCTCACTCTATTATGTTTGGAGCTAAGTGAAAGGTGTGGGTGATTCTAACAGTTTCTTGCACTCCACCCTTTAGTAAAGGCCTTTAATAAAAAATCACCCAACCAAATTTAGTGCCTTACTCTCTTCTAGGGAAATGATACACTGAATTAGTTGAGCTCAGTTATTTAAATGGCTGAGAATTTCTTATTTGTATTTGTGTGTGTTAAGTGCAGTATCCCCAATGTACATTCCAGAGGAATAATAAAATGTGGGCATTTTGACATCAACACTGGCCCACTGGGTGTTGGGCTGCAACCGCTCTACTTGCTATAGCAATTGCTAGGGTGAAAGGAGGCCACACCAAATGGCGGCTGTTTAAGTTCCCCACCCACATGGTCCACACAAGATGGCGCCTAGAGGAAGCAAAGGGGGAGTGTCACTTTTAGTTCGGCAAAAATTTTTATTGGTAGTTGCGCTTTTCCACTCGTGATCAGTGCATGATCAGTAGGCTAAGCATAGGAAAGTAAGGCGCATGCACATGTGACCTTTCCAGTGATTGGCTCTCAGTGTGGAAATCCCTGCTTGCTTAGATATAAATACAAGTGCTTAAAAGACAATGAATAGGTGGGCGGTGCACTCACCCACCATCGGGGATCCTTCTTTGGCTTACTCGGCAGAGGGCAACTTACCTGGTCCTGCCTGGGGGGGATAGGGAGTCTGCTGGGGATCACTCGGTGGCCACTGCCAGGGAAATCCGGAGCCCGGGCCTGGCTGACCAAAAGAGCACCCCGACAACTGGAGACACACCACCTACTCTAAACCAGCCCTACTCCTGCCAACTTTGTAATTAGAATTAATTGTAGTAACCATGTGTGCAAGACTGTTATGAAACATCCCCAATTTCAAATATTTTGCCACACCGAATTCATAAACAGTAGAAATACCCAAGGAATTCTAATACTTCAGTGTTTACCATGCTTCTGCCATACTTCATTTTACGTAAGAAAATAATATAAAATCTTTAGGTAATGTTTTTTGTTTGTTTGCTTTTCTCCCAACTGAGCATGTAGCCTAAAACTGTGCTGCTCCGTGGGACCCAGAGGCCTCAATTTTCCCCCTTGGTAGCACCAAGTAGATTCATGTCTGAATTGTGTTAACTGCAAGAAAGAAACAACTCCAGAGTTGTCTTATCCTGGACTCTTGACTATCAATATCAATATATTTGTGCCTTTCTGTGTTTCCCTTAACAGTAAATCTGATAATAATGCTGCCATTTTCTAAAAATTAAAAATAGTGTTCTTATACAATTTTAAAATGAGAAAAATGCAAAAGTGATATGATTTTAATGCATAGAGTTCAGATGAGTTTCATGTGACATTATTTACTTTGCTAGGGTGGTGAAGGTCTATTTCCTAAACACAGAGAGCAAAGGTTAAAGGGGTTTCCCCCCACCAATTTTATTTTATACAAGCTGTTAAAGTCTAATAACAAAATCACCTGTTACTAAAATTCCTAATAAAGGAATTTAATGCTTTTATACTTTAGCCTTTGCACTAATGACTTTCTTATTATAAACAGATCTTTGACAAAAATTTATCACTCCCATTTCATAATTTATTAACATAATGGCCAGTCACTTGAAAATGAAAACTGATCACAGTACAATAGAGGGGTCTTGTTCACTGACCTGAGTATTCACTCATTCAAATAGTATTTGGTGATTCTTTAATCTGTCCTGCTCTGTCTTTCAGCATTCCAGTGCATCAGAATATTCTCCAGCTGATGATTATGCATTCAATAACAACATTTATGCAAGAGGGACCCATCGGGACCAAGGGGAAGCCGCTGTTGCTTTTAAGCCAACTCCCAGTCGCTATGTAGATAGGTAACATTTAATGGGTGCCATTTGGAGAGCTATGGATAACTGTCTCCGATTTAATTCTAGTAGAGTTAACAGTCTCTGTATTGTCTACTACTACTTTAAACTTTCCATCTGTTAATTATTTGATAAAGTTTCAGTTGTTCCTAGCTTTAATGAGCAAAAGATGTCTGGACCTCCAGTCTGTGATTCCCACATAGTGCAAATGCATTTGGATGACTTGCTCTTATTAAAAGATACTTCTGACAAAATGTGTGCATTAAGAAGGAAGAATTGTTTTGAAATTCTCCATCAGTTTGTACCAGATGGTCTCTAAGGATCTTTCCGGCTCTGTAACTTTTAAAGGAAACAATTTCCATCTTTCTCTTCACCCAACAAAAACAAATAAGTCTTCCTTTAGATAGAAATATTTAAACTAAATATTTAAATAGAGTCAATGCCTTATTTGTCATTCTTGCTTTTTCATATTATTATATATTTTTTTAGTTTTCAATTTTACATTTCATTGATTTTCCTATATTTTCACTCTTAAAAATTTAATATAGGCAGAGGTGGAGAATTGAGATTGAGAACAAATAAAGGAACCAGAACAGGTTAACTTTTTGTTTCAGTCTTGTTTTCCAGCAAGTGAGGTTTACAAAGAGAACAACCAATATAGACAAGAGAAAGAAAAGGAGATGAAATATTGGTAACGAGGATACAAGAGGAGGAGGATTCAGATGCAGTGGGTAGAGAACTTGTCCTAATACTTCCCTGCCTTCAAGTCTCTATTACCACAAGTGCTTCATGCCCTTTATTTCTTGTCAATATACTCTTTTCTTAATAAAATCTGAGGATAGTGGAATTTAAAATTCTTGTTTTTTGTCATGGATGATGACAGAAGTAATGCTTAAGTAATGGTGTAGAAATTACACAGATTTTACTGTAAGGGAACCAGTAACAAATTAAATTGAGTCTAAGGAAAAGTCAGCAATGAATAACATTTTGAAAATGCCAACATATGAAAATTAGTTTCAATTATAGAATTATTTTTTAGTGGATATAGGTGAAAGTCAATTTTGAAGCTTAAACATTTCATCAAGATTCTTCTTGACTAACTTACTACTCATCCTAAAATTTTCTTTTTCATTTCCTTCTACCTTAGATGTCAGTGTTCTAGAACTCATTTCAGATTAGTAATTCTTACCTCTTCTTTTTGTTTTATTACTTCAGTAAGTCTAGATACTTAGCTTTGTAAAACCACTTGAGTTTGAGTACATTTCTCAGGTGTGTTCGGAGTTATAGTACATATTGTTGCTAGAAAATTTTTTTTATCATGTTCTATTTTAAGACCACATCTAGCACATTGTGGTCACTCAGAGTAGATTTATTTGACTGATTTGATGACTAAATAAGTGCATGATAGTGTATCCAACATTTCATATCATGTTCTATTTTAAGACCACATCTAGCACATTGTGGTCACTCAGCGTAGATTTATTTGACTGATTTGATGACTAAATAAGTGCATGATAGTGTATCCAACATTTCATTGTCATCACCTTCCTGTACTTCACCTGAAAATCTATAAGGTATAGCATTACTGATGAAATAACCTCTGCCATTTATTTTGAACAGCTTACCGCAAAGTTTCTTAAACATTTACCTTGATCTTTATGATCTTTATAGAATATCAAGGAAGTACATAAAGATCTTTATGATCTTTATAGAAGGAAGTACATAAAGATCTTTATGATCTTTATAGAATATCAAGGAAGTACATAAAGATCTTTATGATCTTTATAGAAGGAAGTACATAAAGATCTTTATGATCTTTATAGAATATCAAGGAAGTACATAAAGATCTTTATGATCTTTATAGAAGGAAGTACATAAAGATCTTTATGATCTTTATAGAATATCAAGGAAGTACATAAAGATCTTTATGATCTTTATAGAAGGAAGTACATAAAGATCTTTATGATCTTTATAGAATATCAAAGAATTTCCTTTGATTTATTGATTTAGTTATGTCTTTGTATCCTACCTATTTCCCAAATGGTTTCAGGCTGCTCACTTAAATTGTATGCAGTAAAAATAATGTTATTATTAAAAAATAAATAATGAAATAAAATACAAAGTTAAGAAATCAAGAATGAAGATGTGAATTAAAGTTTATGAAGTACATGTGTTGGTTGACACTGTGACTGAATTTCAGATTTGTCTTTGAAATTTCTGGATGTCAGAGCAAAAAAAAAACCAAACCTTTGCTATTATTAGGAAAATGAAGAAGTATCGTATAACTTCGTATAATGTATGCTATACGAAGTTATTACGGGCAATGCACTGAAAACATAATATGCAGCAGAATTCAATCTTCCTTTCATCTTACTGGTGTTGAATATGAGTATAAACATTTTTGCTTTTCTTTTTTGGGTAGATGGAAGGCAGATTAAGTATATTTTGCTTTTGTTTGTTATTTATTTATTTATGGCTGGCCTTACTGAAGATAATTGTTAGCCTGGATACATTTCTTAATTTTGTTGTTTATATATGCCTTGATGTCCTCCTACAGAGCAGAGTGGCCAAAAGAACAATTTATTCCACCATATGTTCCACGGTTCCGCAGTGGCTGGGAGCCCCCAATGCTGAACTTCACAGGAGCTCCATTGGAACAAGATCTTTATCACCTGGCTGAGTCTGTGGCAAATGTAGCACAACATCAGCGCAAACAAGAAATAAAAAGATTATCCAATGAGGTAAAGTTTTATCATCACCTTTTGCAGATAGTGCAGTAATCTGTGCATTCTCTTGTAATTCTGATGGTTAGTTCTCATTTATTGATCTGAAGGTTGTTCTAGAATCAGTGACTGAATGTTACCCTCTATTGCTGCCCTGAGTTGCCTCTGTCTCTTACTTCGTCATTTTTGTGACAGTTGTTCTGTTCCCCTATAAAACCCACCCCCAGCCCATATCATTCTCCTATAGCCTGTAAACCCTCGACGGGAGCGCCACCGCGCTCCCAAGTGGCGCACTCTCCAGTGCGCCACCGGGCCAGCCCAAGTAGGCCATCTGTTGAAGTTAAAGTCCTCACCTTTGAGAGATTATGGTTTACTGCTATTCAGATGTAGTTCGTGTTTTAGAGAAGTTCTCAGATTATTGCTGTCTCCACATCTGCTGTCTGTCAAGTGGCATATGTATTATTCCAAGTCAGAAACTGAGACCATGCATTTCTCTTAAGAAACTTTGGTACTTCTGAATAATTGCCAATTGTGATTTTCTGATTGAGAATTATGATCAGTGTCATATCCAGTTTTAATCTATAGAGAGCAAGAAACCATAAACCATGAAGATTTGTAAATTTGAGAGCATTTTATAAGTGCATACTGGGCAAACACTTCTAAGGCATGCAGGATAACAAAGACTTCAAAGACAACTGCAGCAAATTTTTCTTTTAACTCATTGATTTTGTTACTCCATGCTAATGTCCCAGTGGCCGAGAGTTATTCTACTCTTTGTTATGGTATACTCAAGTCTCCATTATTAGTAATAATTATTTTCCAGATCATAGGAGAGAGGAACATGGGGGAAGAGAGAAAGATAGAAAATTGAAATACTGTTTGTCTGACTTTTGGGGAGGTTGAATTTCTTATCCCCCAAATTAACTCTTAATCGAATGTGAATATATAAAGTAGATCAAAGTAGAGCTATTCCAGTAGTCATTGGGGTGGGAAGCCCAATAGTTGGCTACAATTTCACTTTTCTCACCAGTTCTCCCCGCCCCACCGCAAATATACCAAAAATAGCCAGTAGGTACCACAGCTTACAGGTCATCTTTTTTCTTTGTCCTGTCCCACTTCTCCAAAGGAGTCGCTATCTAGGAGGTAGCAAATACCTATGATGACAGGATATGTTAGTCTGCAACTGTCCTGCATGCCCTGGTATATAACTCAACATTCCAAAAGAACTTGGTAGGCAGCAAAAAAATGGCCACTTGACAGGGGAAGGATGACTAACATCTTTAATCCCTTTCTGCTTTTTCTTTTGTAGAGATGAGTGAGGAAATGTGGAAACAGAAATAGAAGAGAAGATTAGGGAGTAAAATTAATAAAGAGTTACAGTTATTATTGAAATGTATGGAGAAAATACTATTAGTACATTTTTTTTTTCCTTTTTGTCTTTTTTTACTGACCGGTAACAGGGTCGCGACCCTTGGTGTTGCGCCCGCACCGCACTCAACCAGTGAGCGGGAACCGGTCTCCACATGGGATCCGAACCCTCGGCGGGAGCGCCACCGCACTCCCAAGCGGCGCACTCTCCAGTGCGCCACTGGGCCGGCCCTATTAGTACATTTTTAATGCGACAGGTCTTGTGTTATATATACAAATAATTTTTAATTATGTTGTTAAGTCTATTAATGCTCACTTAATGATTAGAGGAAGTATTTGGCTTTTAAAGAAAGTTTTGTTTTTTAAAAAAATATAGGGTCTGTACATCTGTTAATATTAAAAAAGTTTATAGTGAATTATTTGTTTGCTTATTTTTTGGAAGTATTATTGGTCTTATGCTTAATGCATACCTTCCCTTGCAATTTATATAACTGAGCAAAGCTTTCCCCAAAATTGATACCTAATCATCATTTTTAAATATATATATNACCGCAAAGTTTCTTAAACATTTACCTTGATCTTTATGATCTTTATAGAATATCAAGGAAGTGTACCTTTGATTTATTGATTTAGTTATGTCTTTGTATCCTACCTATTTCCCAAATGGTTTCAGGCTGCTCACTTAAATTGTATGCAGTAAAAATAATGTTATTATTAAAAAATAAATAATGAAATAAAATACAAAGTTAAGAAATCAAGAATGAAGATGTGAATTAAAGTTTATGAAGTACATGTGTTGGTTGACACTGTGACTGAATTTCAGATTTGTCTTTGAAATTTCTGGATGTCAGAGCAAAAAAAAAACCAAACCTTTGCTATTATTAGGAAAATGAAGAAGTATATATCAGTTCATTAGGATTAACAGTGCTTTTCCTACTATTAAATTCTCACAATTATTTGTCTACTGGAACTCACAGATGGGATAGGTGATGTTAGGGATGCTATTTTTAACAATATTTTTTTCCTCATTCAGAGAAGGCTGTGGTGAATTTCATAAGGCTTCATAAATGTTAGTAACATTTGATAAATAGGAAACTTAAATGGAATATAGAGAAGGAAATTCCATGAAGGGATAGGTCTTAGAGTGGTCAAAATTTAGCTAGAGAAAGAACTGTTAAGAAATACATTGAGTGGTGGGTAGATTGTGTATCTCAGTTGTCCTTATGGAACCCATCTCTCAGCTCGGTTTAATAGGAGCTGGGACAGTTGTTGACAGATACTTGGATCATTGATATTCTATTTTGCTAGGATAATTTGTCATCATTATTGCAAAAACTATCTGAATGTTCTGGTCTGATAAGAAATACACAAAGATTTAGAATTTGTTTTTATAATTATTATTATTAACCTTACACTCTATTTCATGCCAAGAATGCAGTAAGTATCGTATGAAGTATATTCACTGTTCAGTAAAATTGCCATGTCATTAAGTAGGCCATCTGTTTTTTTTTTGTTTTTTTTTTTCCTTTTTGTCTTTTTTACTGACCGGCAAAGGGATCGCAACCCTCGGTGTTGCACCCGCACCGCGCTTAGCCAGTGAGCGGGAACCGGTCTCCACATGGGATCCAAACCCTCGACGGGAGCGCCACCGCGCTCCCAAGTGGCGCACTCTCCAGTGCGCCACCGGGCCAGCCCAAGTAGGCCATCTGTTGAAGTTAAAGTCCTCACCTTTGAGAGATTATGGTTTACTGCTATTCAGATGTAGTTCGTGTTTTAGAGAAGTTCTCAGATTATTGCTGTCTCCACATCTGCTGTCTGTCAAGTGGCATATGTATTATTCCAAGTCAGAAACTGAGACCATGCATTTCTCTTAAGAAACTTTGGTACTTCTGAATAATTGCCAATTGTGATTTTCTGATTGAGAATTATGATCAGTGTCATATCCAGTTTTAATCTATAGAGAGCAAGAAACCATAAACCATGAAGATTTGTAAATTTGAGAGCATTTTATAAGTGCATACTGGGCAAACACTTCTAAGGCATGCAGGATAACAAAGACTTCAAAGACAACTGCAGCAAATTTTTCTTTTAACTCATTGATTTTGTTACTCCATGCTAATGTCCCAGTGGCCGAGAGTTATTCTACTCTTTGTTATGGTATACTCAAGTCTCCATTATTAGTAATAATTATTTTCCAGATCATAGGAGAGAGGAACATGGGGGAAGAGAGAAAGATAGAAAATTGAAATACTGTTTGTCTGACTTTTGGGGAGGTTGAATTTCTTATCCCCCAAATTAACTCTTAATCGAATGTGAATATATAAAGTAGATCAAAGTAGAGCTATTCCAGTAGTCATTGGGGTGGGAAGCCCAATAGTTGGCTACAATTTCACTTTTCTCACCAGTTCTCCCCGCCCCACCGCAAATATACCAAAAATAGCCAGTAGGTACCACAGCTTACAGGTCATCTTTTTTCTTTGTCCTGTCCCACTTCTCCAAAGGAGTCGCTATCTAGGAGGTAGCAAATACCTATGATGACAGGATATGTTAGTCTGCAACTGTCCTGCATGCCCTGGTATATAACTCAACATTCCAAAAGAACTTGGTAGGCAGCAAAAAAATGGCCACTTGACAGGGGAAGGATGACTAACATCTTTAATCCCTTTCTGCTTTTTCTTTTGTAGAGATGAGTGAGGAAATGTGGAAACAGAAATAGAAGAGAAGATTAGGGAGTAAAATTAATAAAGAGTTACAGTTATTATTGAAATGTATGGAGAAAATACTATTAGAACATTTTTTTTTTCCTTTTTGTCTTTTTTTACTGACCGGTAACAGGGTCGCGACCCTTGGTGTTGCGCCCGCACCGCACTCAACCAGTGAGCGGGAACCGGTCTCCACATGGGATCCGAACCCTCGGCGGGAGCGCCACCGCACTCCCAAGCGGCGCACTCTCCAGTGCGCCACTGGGCCGGCCCTATTAGTACATTTTTAATGCGACAGGTCTTGTGTTATATATACAAATAATTTTTAATTATGTTGTTAAGTCTATTAATGCTCACTTAATGATTAGAGGAAGTATTTGGCTTTTAAAGAAAGTTTTGTTTTTTAAAAAAATATAGGGTCTGTACATCTGTTAATATTAAAAAAGTTTATAGTGAATTATTTGTTTGCTTATTTTTTGGAAGTATTATTGGTCTTATGCTTAATGCATACCTTCCCTTGCAATTTATATAACTGAGCAAAGCTTTCCCCAAAATTGATACCTAATCATCATTTTTAAATATATATAT